ATCATGCACAGATCTGGGCCATCATGAAAACTCATGATCAGCTACTTGAACACATGTTCATGGAAGGCTATCTACTTGATGGTGGCAACAAGAGGTTAGGGTTACTGATCTCGAGGCAAAGACAGGCGAACGAACCAGAGTCCAAGCTAGCAATAATATTGCTCCCGCTATCATCAATAATAATATTCAAGATAGCGAGGAGAGTAATATATTCCCATCTGGATATAGTATAATTGGTTCAATCAATTCTGAATGAAGTGACACTAGACAAACTACCTCACAAAGGGACAAAATTCCAAGTCTTGGCGTAATTTCACGATGAATGGATGAAGACCCGGCCGTAGAGCCCAAAGTATCTGTGGAGTACAACAATAACGTAAAGACGTCAGTAAAAATTCCCGCACCTGAGAAGTATGATGGAAAACCACAAATGGATGCATTCGAAGAATGGACGTTCAATATGAATAACTTCTTCAAGCTTTCATGTGTACCTGCCAAACAAAGGATACGTCATCTTCCGGCATACCTCAAAGGAAAAGCGGCAAATTTTTACATTACCCATGTTGCTCCTGACCCTAACAACTGGACTATGGCGAAATTTGCCAAAGAATTATTCCTATATTGTTTCCCATTGAATTTTAATGAGCTACTGCACAGCCGTTTTGATAAAGCAAACCAAGGTCGAAAACCGTTCACGGACTTCGGACGGTACATGGATAAACTGGCCTCACGACTACCCAATGTCCATATGTCAGAAGTTCCACGTAAGATATTCGAAGGTGCGAATGGATATATACGTACCGAATGGAGAGCCAAAGGAATGAACTACGAACAAACTTCGAGGCGTATTCTAGAGGAAACAGCTTTGAATTACAAGATGGCTATGCTGGAAATGCTGAAGGAAGCTGCGAGATCAGGAAGGAACTGGTGCCGAGCGATGGATGAGCGAAATCAGGATGCATTTCAACATATAGATGAAAGACGACATACGAGTAACAGCAATAGTAACAGAGACAACCGATCTAATAATCGGGGAAGAGGTCAAGGACAGCATTTCCCGATGAGCCAGACAAGACGAACCTTTCACCCACAATTTGACAGAGAAAACACTGTGGAGAGAGATGAACTCCGGGCCAAAGGAGCCTGCTTCCTGTGCAAAGAAAAGGGTCACATATCCAGGGACTGCCCAACAAAGAAATCCTACCGCCCTACCACACATATCCGCTCAGCAGCCGTAAATGTTGAGGAGCTAGCAAGAAGCGTAGATAACAGGTCTTTACAGACCCCCACACTAGATATCTTCTTTGCTGGATATAAGACCAAATTCGTGTCAGAACATCCTGAAAAGAGAAGGGAATTGCTAGAACGCACCAAGGAAAGACTTATCCCCGCACTATGGATCAGGTACCATTCCACACGGATATCATTGATGTCCCTGAAATAGACCCATTGGATGCTAGCTGATTCGAAATCGAAGAATGGGGCCAGGCATTCATCTTGCATGACTGGCACACAGGCGATGACCACCTATTAACAGACGAAGTCCTAGAAAACGACATTCCTCCATGCATGGATTGATCTACTGCATCCCATACAATGCTTTGGTAATAAACCAGACACTTGGAGCATGGGTGATACAGCTAGCAAGATATGCTACACTAGCAGGCTCCTCCAATGGTATATCTACCCACTGATATCTCTGTGTATTGAATATTTGCATAGGTATATCTACAATATTTATATTATTTGTGTCATATGACTGAGGAAATAATTGCTCAGAACATGTGGGG